AGCTATACATGAGTGATCAATCAAATAATCATTGAGTAGTCGCAATGGTTGTTGTTGCAAACACACAGTAACAAACATCCATCCATTTACGAAATAGCATAGGAACAATACAAACATTACAGAGATATGGACAGATTGGTAGGAAATCATCAATGGCTCCTGCAAAACATGTTGATGTCCTCAACTCGGTTTCTCAGGAAAACAAAGATATGCAAGAAAGATCCAACAAGTAGTTACAGCCCAACGATTGTGAAAGATAGCGGGTTACCTCCTCATCAGTGACCCCCTCACTGAGGTGTGATGGCCGGAAGGAAGGCCAGGGCTGAGAAAGACCGAGAGACCTGCACCAGTGTCCAGCAACGGGCCGTCCACTTTTTCCTCTATAGTCATGATTTCGGGGGGCTCCTCCTTGGAGACAACGGCCCTTCTCCATGAGGGCGGTTCTTCAGAATCTGAATATTTGGCCCTCATGCAATCCATGAAGTCTCGGTGCAGACTTCTCCGGAGTTCCACTTGCTCCTCCACCGCAGTCCGCACAGTTAGAGGAGAATGGCCTCCAGGGCGTCTCCCCGGGTGCCATACAAGGTCCTCCTGGTTTCCAGCTCCCGAACGGCTCCCGCGTCCCCAGTCAGCTCGACCTCTGAGTCGTCGGGCGTAGGTACTCACGTGTTCTCCGAGTCCTTGTTCATCAGCTGCTCCTCCGCTGACTGCGGACCTTTCCGGCTCTCAAGGGCAGGGCCAAGAGCGCCCCGCCGTGCGGCATGTTTTCCGGGAGGTTTCTCCATGTTGGGGGTGGTTCACGCACGTCCCCGGGCGGGCCGACTGTGTCCGCGCCTCTCTGTGGCTTGGTGGTTCCCGAGGGTCTGCGCGTGCGCGCCGCTTCCCGGGCGCCTGCTTCCTGCCTATCCCGGTGCCTGCTGCATGGCCGCCCAGGACAGGGCGCCTGCGCTGCAGGCCGTGAAATGGTTCTGTGTAGCCATTTTGAAAATGTTGAGTTTGAGCTGGCAGCAGTACAAATATCTCTTATTAAGTTAAAAATAATTTATATTTACTATTTATGATATCTCATTAGTAGAAATACTATGTCTGCATATATAGGGAAATGGGAAGATAATAGATGGTTTACTCCTTAGCTCTGGTATAAGATTGCAGTTGTCTATTTTATAATTTTATGTAATTGTGATTTTTAAAATGAATATTTACTTTCTTTGTAAATAACCAAGTAAATGCCATTGAAAACGAGAAGAGAATACTTAAAAAATCCTAGATTAAAAAAAGTACATTAGCGGGCCATAGTGGCACACGCCTGTAATCCCAGCGCTTGGGGAGCTAAGGCAGGAAAATTGCCTCGAAGTTGAGGCCAGCCTCGGCTGCATAATGAGATCCTGTCTCAAGAAAAAGTATATAAGAAATTAGTTCCTCAGCCAGGTATGGTGGCCAGGGCCTGTGATCTCAGCACTCAGGAGGTTGAGATGGGAGGATCCTGAGTTTGAGGTTTGTCTGGGCAGCACGGGGAGTTCAAGGCCAGTCTGAGCTACAGAGCGAGACACTATCTCAGAAGAGAAAAAAAGAAATTAGATTCTCTTTGATCCTATCTCTAAAAGTTTTATAGAAAGAGCAAGATCCTGAAAAGCAAATTTGAGTGTGAATTCTAGTTATATTACTTCCTACCCATATGACTATGGATATGTTACTTAAATTCATTTTGCTTTTATCATCCTTAAAATGGTGAATGCCTTCCTCATACATTTGAGAGAATCAAGTGACGTTCTGTGTAATTTTGTAGTGTAATTCTGGTTTTGAACTGATCTTTGATGGTGTGTGTTGTTATAGAGTAGTAGGATTATTATGCTAATTCCTTCTTTAAAAAGTTTTAGTAAAGTATGAATAACCTGTAGTTTATTTTCCTATAAACGTTCATAATTCTTAGTTAGCCCCCATTAAAGAACTACTAGTTATGCTTTAACTTTATATCTTTATGCTGAGTAAATACCAAGGAATGATTTTTATTATAGTGATTTGTTTTCCTTTGATTTACCTTTATTTTATTTTATTTGGTTCTACTCCAGTTGAATAGTCAGTAATATTATT